TTGTGGAGATTTAATCTACAAAACTTGGTGATCAATTGGATCTGTGACATGAAAGAGAAAGAAGGGTAAAAGATAACTCCAACAATTCAAACATAAAAGCCTAGGTCAGTGATGATGGCATAGGCAAGAATACTGGAGTTTTGGGGAGGAGCAGATTTAGGTGAGTGACCCTTCCCAAAGGTACAGAGATACTTCTCATTAGGTCATTACAAGTTCCTAGGTACAAAATTGACATATGGGGATGGGACAGAAGGTAGTCCTTGCCTTAAAGGAGTCTACATTCTAAAAAATCAAATGCTCAAGGTATATAAAGAAAGTGAGGTTGATTTGTTTTCTTTTTAAAAGAGTGGAAAAAATCCAAAGTGTTGCCTCTCCTAGCCATTAAACAAATCTCCTGGAGATGCGCTATTTTATATTATTTACCCAGTAGGCGAAGCCATATAAGGACAGTAAGAACAATTGTGGTGTAATATGAATGACACCCCATCTCAGCATCATTTGTGACAAAGGAATGAATTAATGAATGAAACTGAAAAGGCATTTATTAAGCACTTACTATATACAGAGTGCTGAGCTAAATGCTGGGAAGGGACCCAAATAAAAAAGTAGATCTCAAGGAGCTGCCATTCTAATGGGGGAGACAGCACATCTGAGAGGCTTCCGCTGCAAATAGCAGTTGAAAGGCAGATGGACCAGCCCAGTAGTCCCTAGGGAGCAGTGGTGATGCATTTTTTAATGCCATTTGCATTAATAAAATCATTTCCATATCCAGGGTTGAAGCATTTAATAGTGCCAAGGGTTTTGGTAGCCAGAATTTTCTTTTCCTGGTCTTCAGGGCCCAGAAATGCTGAGGAGGTGGGGCTACAGCCCCTCCTGAGGCTGTCTCCTTAAGGGAAGCTTCTGTGGACATGGTGGGCAATGGTTGCAGAGACCAAATTAGAAACAGGTCCAGTAGTATGGGGAAGCTGGGTATATGGCTGATATTCCAGGGGCTCTTGGCCTCTGGGTTCTGGGCTCTCTCCACTGAGGTCTCAGGACAGGTGGTGCTCAACATGGTGATCATGGTGTTGCCACCTCCTGTCTCTCCCACAGAGTTCCTTTCTGCTTCAGGTGGGAAAGAAAAAAGTTTATATTACCTGCTGTATTCTCAGACTCCAGTCACTCATTCCTTGTTTAACTGGAAAATCTGTAGCTGCCAACAAGGCCTCCAGGAGCACAGACAGCTTACCTTTTGGCAAATTCCAAAGTACCACTTAAAACTCACAAGGAGCTGCAGAATCCAAAGGCGGGGGGGGGGGGGGGGGGGGGGGAAGAGTGGAGAAAAGCACTAGGGTTTTTTAAGCAAAAGGGGGGAAAAAGTTTAATTATGGAAGACACACACACAGCATAACCCACAAATGTAGCACTGCTGTGGAAGCACATTCCAGTGAAATCTTAAAAGATTACTTTAATAATAAACCATGCATTCTTTAGCAAGCCATCCTAGGATTAACCACCCCTTTCCCTCTGCTGGAAGCAGTGTTTTCAGACCAGGGTCGTACAAGCGGTAGTGTCATGCAAGGTCTATACTTTTCAAAGTTTGCACTTAATCTTGACCACCTCCTTTTTCCAAACCTGCATTTCAGTGTGGTAAGAAAAGACTGTGGTTTAGACAGAGTTAACATCTGGAAAGGCAACCCCAGAACAAGCAGTGGTGAGATTTTCCAGATGTAAGGAAGATAATTTTAGACCTGCTGAAAAGTGATTTGCCTATTGTGGAATAAGGCAATATTGCACCAAACCAAAAAAAAAGAGTTAATTTTTTTTTCTTTTTTCTCCAAACATGGGTAGGACACTGAATCTCTGCCAAAAGTAATATCAGAGCGCTACAGATATAAAAAGATATTCTGACTTCATTGTTGACTCCCCACATTTCAGTTAAAAAATACTAAGATGCTGGTTTTACATCGTTCAGGTGGGCCAACTGCACATAAATGAAAGAATTTTCAACAAAAGCCTGCTCTTGATATTGTAGTTTTTAGAGATTAAGTGTGCTGTAATGAAAAGAGTCAAAGGTTTGGAGCCAAAAAAGCTGAATTCTGCTCCTTATCACCTGTATGCCCTTGAGCAAGTCATTTCCCTTCTCTGGGCCTCAATTTCCTCATTTATAAAATAAAAAATCAAGAATAGATGATCTCTGAGGTCCCTTCCAGCCATAAATCCTATGATCTTAAATTACTGTATTCGTCCAGGGCTTCTTGCCCCGCCCTTAAAATAATCCCTTTGTTACCTTTTCCAAGAAGTAATATTTTAATAAAAAAATAAAAATATGGGATTGTTTCCGAGTTTCCAGAAAACATTTCAAATTCAAAAAATGAGATTCCTTCCTTTAAGACAGTTAAGCGAGGGGCAGAGCCAGGATGGCAGAGTAAAAGCAGTGACTTGCTTGAGTTCTCCCCCAAACCCCTCCAAGATAGATAAGCCTTCCTTATTTTTTATGAAATAAAATGTTCATCCTTCCCCTGTGACTTATAAAGTTTATAAATCGATCAATGAGAGAGTGGAAAGTGCTGAACTGTGGTCAGAAGAGACTTAGATTTGGATATCACCTCCAACACCCCCATGGACAGGGAACTCATCTTTCCAGGGAGACTTAGCTTCCTCAGCATTAGTAATCAGATAATATTCTCACAAAATATTATCAATAATAATGATAATGTTAATGATAATGATAATTAACATTATCAATATCATACTACTATTTGGAGAATGTATTTCACAAGATTGTTGATAATTAGGAAATAAGAAAATATAAGCACAGAAGAGCTTTGTAAACCTTAAGACTTCTTAAAGCTGTGACTATATATGTGTGTACATATATAAATACATATATATATACATATATACATACCTGTTTGTGTATGTATGCCCCACCTAACATTACTACTATTATTATCACTTAAAATATAAAGAATACATAATGATGCATCCTGAAAGGTAACATAACTAAAAATCTCTACACATGTTTAGCACTTAATAGGGCTGAAATTGCTATACCTATCACAAAGTGACATTTTAATAAATAATCGTTTTAAACATAGCAAGTTTGATATTACAAGTGGGAACACATCTACATTTTTTGCCTTCTCTTGTCCTCATAATTGCCCCCCCCAAAAAATGAAAGTTGAGGTCAGCACCAGCAAGTGTAAGGTAAATTACCCCACCCAGCTGTGCTCTTCCACTTCATTCCTGACCCTCTTTTCCACCCCTGCACCCTTGCTATTCCAAGCCTGACCTACTTCAGAGAGGAGATTGCCAGTCACATTGAGCTACCCCAAATTATAAGGTGGTTTTATAGTCAGGACTAAGCTGAGACCACAAAACACATAAGGCATGTGACTTGAGCCAGAGTTGACCCTCCTCCCTCCTCCCTAGTTTTCCTCCAGAGGTGAAATGCACATCCACTATCCACTGGGTCATTTGGTCGATAAAACAAACCACTCCTCTCTTAGCATGGTTTCAAATTATCTAATTTGCCAAACATTGTCAGGGACTTGGCTTTGATAAAAACAGAGAGAACAAAAAGAGAAAAAATGAATTTAAAAACTTTTTTCATATGGAATGTCTCTTCAGATAATAATTTAATAATTTTAAGTAAGTAGTGTTATATTGATATAATTTTATGTTGTTTGTATAGCAGTGGCATTCCAAAGCATAAACACTAGTTTGTGTGGGGGAGGGGAAGAGAGTACGTATGGCACTCTAAACAAGTTGTATTAATTGAATAAAATAATTGGAAAGACTACATTAAACATTTTAAAATGCTATGTAAACTGATATGATGTATTATTGCTGTCTAAGGCATTCTTCAATACAACTTCTAGTGATGTGGGTTGTGTCAGCTTTACAACATTAGATAGTAATTTCTATACCAATTTCCCTAAAATTGAAACTTTTTTTCATCCCTGGTATAAATCCAGCTTGGTCATAAGTAAATACATTTTTAGTTTTATTGCTGTAATCCTTTCTCTAGGACTATACATTATTTTCCATGGATTATTATACAGCTTCAAAAATCTCAAAGAAAAAACCTACTATGTGCATGTATCAGGAATGGCCAGGAGACCCCTTTATAGAACTGGTGTGCCCCCTATCCACTCTCTGATATTTCCTCAAGTGGACTGGAGGACTCACCAAGTCAGTCAGAGGTTCCCCTTGATTGTCTTTGATATATCTAACTTTATATTACCCATACACGTATACCAACACATACATTATACACAGTAGCATACTACAAATCGCCTAATTTGTGTTGATACAGTGCACATATACGGTTTAGGCTACAAGTAAGAAGGAAAAAGTGTTTATGAAGGATATATGAGGAGGGAGGACGTTTTTGTTATGCCTACGTGCATAACATAATTTTGTGCTTGTGCATACACACATATATGTAGTATGTCTTCCGCATTTGTGCCTATGCATAAATACATTTGCATAGATTTATGTTACAAACCCACCGAAAACACACACTCCCTTAAGCTCATCCACTTCTGAAACGAGATAGATTGTCCTTCAAGGGGGTAGAGCCGCTTTAAAGAATCTAATTGTGTTCAATAGGTGCGAGATCCTACTTCCACTAGCCAGAACTTCAGAATTCCAGACCACCTTTTGTTGCCAGAGCCATACAGCCCAAGGCTGAGCTGATTTGCCACATCACCTCGAGCTGCAGCGGAGCGGTACAAGCTGTCCTCAACTCCTACCCCCAAAGCCCTTACCTGAAATGTTGCTCTGGGCCTAATCGAGCCCCTAATATAAATCTCACTCTACCAAAAGCTAGCTATGCTGCTGAGATTTTCCCCTGCCCCCAGCTGAGTCCCAGCGCCGCAGGGAACGAGATCCTCTGGTGGCTTAGCCAGGAGTTAATAAACAGTTAAGTTTTGAAGACTCAGCAGACACGTTGAGGCGGAGTAACCAAGCTGGAGCAGCAAAAACATCACAGCGCATTCCTGGGGAGTCCTCAGCTGCCAGCATCTGATTAGAACCATATCTCTCCCTGGGAGTGGCTAGCTCCGCTCGGGAGTTTAGCGTACAACCGAGTATTTAACCGGCCCGCAGGGCTGGCCAGTCCGCCCGGCGGAGGGTTTGGGGAGCAGTGGGGAAAGAAATCATGCTTGGAGCCGAAAGGAGCTAGTTTGTGAGTAGTTTGGGGTTTTTCCCCCCTTTTCCCCTTCTTCCTTCCCTATCGTGCTCTCTGTTTTCACTTCTTGGAGGTCCGGAGCCGGGCTTGGGCTCGGTTTTTCCGGCCCTCTTGGGAGCGCAGGCTGTGGGGAGAGAGCTGAGCAAGAAGACTGACAACGTGCGGTGGAAGCGGGCGGTCGTGTAGCCTGGCATTGAGACTGGGCTGGTGGTGAATGAACTTACCTTCGGAGCTCGGGCTTAAACCCGGCTGTGCAGAGAGGGAGAGAGGGAAAGAAGGAAACTGACACCGAATCCCTGACTGCTTTTTCCAGGGAAGGGGGAGGCGGACGCCGGCAGCTTTTAGAAAGCCACCGTTGTTGGTGGTGGTTTTTCCTTCCCTCGGATGACTGCCTAATTAGCTCCCCGACGTGTTTGTTTTTGCTCGCTGCCTAACAAAGAGGGAGGACCTGGTTTGTGCGGCTCTGGGGCTGCCTAGCTAGGAGTGACAAGAGCGGGGACTGAACATTCTTGAACTTTGTCTCGCCCTCTTTCCCTGCGGTCGTTCCTAAGACAATAGCTGCCGAAGGTACTGGACAGACTAGTTGGAAGGCTTGAAGCAGCTTCGCCGCCGCCGCTGTCGCAGCCTCCAGGATGGGGATGGCGCTGAGGCCGTGGGCTCTCTGGGCTGGAGAGGGCAAGTAGAGGGGGGACGGGAAATGGAACGGGGTTTAAAAAAAGTAGGGGGGGGGGCTCGTCAGCCAGCTATAAATGTAGCGGTTTTCACTGTTACTTGAAGTTAGGTGTCTCTTTTTAACATCCCCACAGGCTACGGCGTGCTTTCTGCCTTCGGTTTTAGGGCTCAGAACTTTGCTGAGATTATTATTTTTTAATGACTGAAGCCCTAGCTGGAGGGAGGAAATTCTGGCAATCCCTCCCAAATTAAACGTGAGATCCAGAAACTAGCTTCTCTACTCCAATGAATAACTTTAATATGGCAGAAGGGAAAGGCAGGGAGTGACTGGGTGGAGAAGGGGGCTTAATCTTATGTTTTAAAATATCAGTATGGCCATAGAAATTCCTTGATGGGGCTTCTTGGCCCCTGTCACTGTGGGGGAAGGGAACAACCAAGAATAACCAGATCAGAACCTGAAAAATGTTGAGAGAAATCATACTCCAAGTATCGGATTAACTGTCTTAAGTAGCTTTTCTTAGAATAAATGACATATAGTATGCTTTTCTTACAGTTTCTCCAACATAAGCTTTCCTGCCCACATTGGAAAGAACATGTGCCAGATTGTTGTTTTTTTTTCCCCCTTCCTCTTTTAAAATGGAGAGACTTGGAGGGGAACATACATAGAAACCACCAGACAATTGCTGACACGGGATCTAAGACAAGCATCTTACAATAGAAGCCTTGTCATGACTCCACATTTAATTGTTCTGGGTGCTGTCACTACTCTGAGATGGGTTTCAGTCACACGGAGGAAGATAAAATTTTGTGGAGCTTGAAAATACCGGAGATCTTTTCAGTTTCTTCCTTAATCCTTTTTAAGAAAGGAAGGAGAGAATTTGGAGAAGAACAACATCAATACTCAAAATTAATAAAACAAAATAGATTAGTCAATCTTCTCCTAAGAAGGCAGAAGGAAAAGATTACTGTGCAGTTTTATAGTGAGTCCCTTTTAAGGTAAATGCTCTTTGTTGACTACATCCTCTATTAGGTTATTTTTCCCCTTAAAATTCAAGTATCTTTATCTTAAGTTAGATTTGACATCTTTTCTCTGAAGTTGTAGGTAATTTTTTTCCAAACTCTTCATTACTCACCTACTCCCTTAATCTCAAGTATGTGTGTGTGGCTTTGTGTGTGTATGTTGCATATGCATGTTCAGATGTATGTAACCATGTACCTCCCTCCCCACCCCATCTAATCTAACTTTCTAGAGCAGTTAGGCCTAGGTAACACCCCATATCTTACAGATATGGGAGGGGAAGTGTTACAATGCCAGTTAAATGACTTGTTTAAAATACAACTAGTGAAGAATAGGCTTTGATGTCATAAAATAACTGCTGGGCTCACGACCTAGTTTAAGATTGAAAATTCAGACTTCCCTACAGTTGCATTCTTCAAGCTCTGTTATGAATTTTGGCTCTGTCACTTGCCTGTGTGATTGTGGGCAAGTCACTAAATGTCCTTGGCTCTCATTTTCCTGGGTTATAAAATGAAGGAATTGGACTAGATAACCTCTAGGTCTGTGATTCAGTGGCTTGTATCACTCTGTTCTTTTACATTCTCAGTGGCTTCTAAGACATTTTGTTTTTATGAAAGGGATGCTGATGACTTCTGGGTCCTGCTGACTGGCTAGCTGGCAACATTATTGAGCTACTAAGTCATTCCTCCCTATTTAGCACCTAGAGATCAAGAGAAGGCAGGAAAACACAAGCTCAGCAGTTTGGATTCTGGTTAGCAATATGTTTTGGGGGAGACTTGGGCCTCTTCACAAGGCAGTGACTATATATATTTTTTTCTCATGCCTGTCACTTCGTGTTGGTAAACTTAAATTTAGCACTACTAAACTGCTTATCCTTCATGGGTTTAGCTTGTGGCTATAATCTCCTCTACTCTAAATCTCAGCCTTTCAGACTTTCCCTACTCTGATCTAGTTTAGTGGCAAAAACTAAGATACTGAAATGCTCAACTATTTGAAAGAAAAGGTCATTCCTGGAACACTCAGCAGTGGTTGGACATTGCCCTACTGGTCTTTAGAACAAAGCTGGAGAGGCTTAAGGCCTGACCGACTTGGAAGACTGAACTGGTTGCTGCAGAAACATGCAGTTGTCTGTCCCTCTGAGTGAGCATAAGCAGAACTGGCGATCTGAAACACCTGAGTTACAGAATGCGGTATTTTAAAATGCTCTCTGGCTCTGCAATGTAATACTAAGGTTGAATTACAATTCCGGAGTTGGAAGAAAGTCTCAACCAGAAACTTAAATTAACTATGATGGTGGGGGTTGGTGTGCTTTGGATAGATTTGTTGTTTGTTTGTTTTTAAATAGTGGATCTATACACAAAGAAAACTAATGAATGCATTAGGAACCTGAGAAGTCAAGCATTGTAATCTACTAATGAAGTGAGAGGGTTGGGGGAGGGGGAATGCCTTTTGATTTCAAGGTGGCTAAATGGCCAGCATAGCCATTGGGATCATAGAATTGTAGACTTTTTCTTTAGAGCTGGGAGGAACTTTAGAGTGCTAGACTGAGAGTGAAAGGATGTATATTCAAATCAAAGCTCTGCCTTTGTGATTTTGGGCTGGCTACAATCTCACTGGGCCTCAGTTTCCTTCTCTGTAAAATAAAGGGATTAGATTGAATAACCTCTAAGGTACTAAGATTCCTTTCAGCTCTATACAATTCTATGAACCCCCTTCATTTTAAATATAAAGAAACCATGGCCCAGAGAGGATAGCTTGTTCAAGGCCAGCCACTTAGGCCTTGGCAGAGCTGAGATCCTAACCAATGTCATCCAACTCCAAATCCATTGCTCTTTCAAATACATCATGTGGTCTCTTAATCTTAATGCATATATCTTAATGCAGTAAGGATCACATGTCAGTGCCTGGGAAATAAGAAAGGGAGTGTAAAAGAGGCAAACTCACTGGAAGAGGTATGGAGCAAGAAACCAACCACTACCACCACCCCAAACACTATACACTATAGAAATAAATAAAAGCCATTCTTTGCAAAATACTCATTTTATTGAGTCTCCCTAATTGGGCATTATATATCTCTGAATAAAGATGAACATACAAACATTTCAATACAAACAAGGCAAGCAAATTTGTCCTTCCCCACATTGGTACAGACCAGACAAAAAGTCTCTCTGCTTGTGGTTCAAAGGACTCTCCATAGTCTAAGTGATCTTTTCTACTTATATTTTGCCAAGCTACTTTTCTCCCCTATGCCCACCTCTATAACTACGTACAAAGAAAAAAAAAATCCCTTCTCCAAAAACCTGCATTGAATGGAAAGAGTAAAGAAACAGGGGACTACCCATATTAATTGCAGTGACTAGGCTAGCCATCCGTGGAGTGATGGGCTGCCCACACAGCAGGGCACATGGCCAAGGATAGCTCCTTTTCATGCATCCCTTTCTGAGCCTTGAAGAAAGCCTGTTACTCCAGAGTCAGGGGAAGTCTGAACAAATCACTTCCTGACCTAAAATGAGAGTGACACTTTTGGCAAGGGGAACTAGAATCTCTGTTCCCCTGTTCCACTCTCCCCTCCCCATCTCCTTTGTTTTATTACTCTTCATATTGTTTTTCCCTTTCTAATAGAAAATCTTTAACAAACAAGAAGGAAAAGATCACCTAGAGACTTCTGGGACCAAAATTAAAGCTGGCCTGATAGAGAAAGGGCCTTGGGGCTAAGCCCTATTCCCATAATTTGTACAAAGTGTCTCATGACTTAAATGTACCTTTAGGATTTTCCTTAAAGACACAGGTGCTTAGGAGGAGCAGCTGGGTGCATGCTTACATTCTGGAGTCAGGCAACAGGTTAAACTATATTGAAGGCATACGGAAGCAAAAATCTGAAAGAACTAGAGTTGAGCCAAGAGTAATCTCCGGGAGAAGATGGGAGAGTGACTTCCCAGAAAATTAGGTAGGAGAGGTTTTCAAGTTCAGGGAATTTTAGTGATGTGTCCTTAACTGGCCCCCTCTAATTGGTTAAAGCTATTGCATCACACTCAAGCTGGTGAAACTGGCTGTGTCATTCTGAAGTAGATGTGTTACAGACTTTATGTTACTCCATGTGATTGGTGAACTATCCCAAAGCACACAACTTAACACAACCTGACTGCTTTGTCATGTTTTCAGCATTGAAATCTTTCTCACTTTGCTTTTTTCCTTTGTGGACCAGTTGCAGCACTTAGCAATACTAACTGACTTTAAGTCTTCTAAGGAGAGAACAGACTGAGAGAAAGGAACACAAATCTTGTTAGGAAAAATGCCAGAGGAATGA